CTCTCTGGTGGGTGCGGTTCCATTTTCCCCCTTACAGGCTGAATTATATACCCTGCCCCCCAAATTCCTATTTGAAGATCTAACCCCAGTACTCAGAATGTCTTTGAAGTTGGAAACTTTGACAATGTAATCAAGAGCAAATGTAATCTTTTAAATGGACCTTAGCCCAGCATATCTGGTGTCCTTGGGAAGAAATTATGAGAGAGATGAAAAAGGCCAAGCACGTAAAGATGCAGGGAGGAGAAGGTGGCCAATCAACTCAAGAGCCTGTAATGCAAACCACCCTGGCTTCTAGAACAGTAGGGTAATAAATGCCTATGGTTGGAGCCACTCCGTCCGCAGAACTCTGCTGCAGCAGCCCAAACAAACTCCTCCACCCCCTGATCCTCAGCCTTGGCTCTGTTGAAGGCGGGCTGACACTTCTCGGCCCACTTAGAACCTGTGATTTGTCTTCAGTATCTTAACATTTTGTTCAGAGATGATAAACATCATGTCACTTCTCTCCTCGCTGGAACCTGTTTCACTCCGGTCCTGAACTACAATCAGCGCCTATTGTGGGTCTCCTAACTCTCTAATCGCCTGAGCCACCATGGCACCCGCTGTGGTTGATCAGCACTCATTAGCATAATTCTTGCGGCCCAGGTGAGCTGCTCCGTCCCTCTTTTCTCACAGCACTGAGCACCCACTCCTCATGGTCAGTTCCTGGCCTTCAAAGGCAATCACTCCCTCTTTACGTGAAACTTCTACTCACTTAAAATCCAGCGTTTATGTCCTCTCACTGCTATTAAAACGTCACTAAAGGTGAGGAGGTGCAGACAAGGGAGTGCTCACCTGACACTATTGGTGGGGATGCAAATTAGTAAAGTCCTTACAGAAAATATGGAGTTTCTCAAAAAAAAAAAAAAAAAGTATTATAAACATATGATTCAGCTATCCATTACCAGACATATAGCCATCAGCTGCTAAACACCTTGATTTGGTTATTTCACATGGTAGACATAAATCTCCATCACTCAAAAACCTTAAATATGGACAATTCTTATGCATCAATTAAAAAAAAAAAAAAACAAACATTTGTGGCTAGAGATGTGGTTCGTTAGTACAGCACTTTCCTTGCTTGTGCAAGGCCCTGGGTTCCATTCGTAGCACTGCGTCAATAAACAAACGAACAAATGACTCCAGTGGTGGGAAACCTATTTCTTAGACCTCCCTGGCATTCACCTTGCTCTCAATACTTCAAAAGACCATCCTCATTTTGACACAAAGTTGTGGAGAAATGTGTCTATTTTTAATGTCCTCTTATGTTGCAACTTGAAAGAGTCTTAAAATGTGAAGCCAGGTGCCCTCTTTGGAAAAACAGTAGCAGCCTCCAGCCTCAGGACCCTGCTGCTGTGGTTACTAAGGCGACCAGTTGGCCGTAGGTGCCTTAATCCATCAGTAAATCCCAGGCAGGCGGCCACATACCTGCAAGGAAGGTGCGCTTGGCCCCCTGAGGGAGGAAAATAGCTGGGTGGGTGGAGGTTAGTAGAGTCCAGAGGAGTCATCGAGGTTCTGAGCACTTTCTTCCCTGGCAGCTCCTCTCTGGGGAGGATTGGGCGCCTGATGGGAGAGTTTGCCTCAAGATCCACCCGTGAGAATGGCTGGAATCTAGTTTCCACCTCCTATAGCCCTTGGCTTGAGTCTACTCCTAGAAATGGGGTGAGGGGACCTCCCTCACCAAGCCCATCAGTTACCTTTCTCATCACTGCCACAAAAAGCTGGCAGAACCACCTCAAGGGAGGAAGAGTTGGCTGCTCAGAGGGTGTTAATCCATCAGGGTGGAATTCATGGCAGCAGCACATGGTGAGCGACCTCCCACAATGGCCGATAACCAGCCCCCTTTCCCAACAGCTTCACAGCCATGAGGCTTAATAGTCAAAACAGCCTCAGGGGCACATTTCAGAGTCAGGAACTCTTCGCTCTTCCTTTTTCTTTTCCTGAACATTCTAAGAATGAACAATGGGTGTGTTATTCAAGAAGATTTCCCCCGTATACTAACAGAAAATCCAAATAAATGGCTTAGAACCAAAGTGCTCTATACAGCCAGCTCTATACGGCTGTCCTCTCTTTGTCTTTCAGCTATAGTGTCTAGCCTACCTGGCCCCGGCCTGCCAAGACACACAGCAAATCCGTGGAATGCCAGCTCAAAGCTGAGGCCTCAAGAGGCCCCACGTATTATGCCTTACCCTTAGCTGGTCAGTTTTTTTTACACTTGTATTTCAGCCTCCGTGTGTGTGTGTGTGTGTGTGTGTGTGTGTGTGTGCTGGGGCCTATGGAGGGTACAGTAAAGAAAGAATTTGGGAGAACTGAGCCAGCCTCTGAAAGCTGACCCAGAGCTGGCTGCAGGTCAGTAAGAAATCCACACTGAGCCTGCTGAGCCCAGCCTGAATCCTCAGTCTGAAGAATCATGAGAGAAGCAAGGCCTCTGTTGTGTTAAACCTCTGCCGTTGGCATTAAATGTAACACAGCAACTTATAATCGAACCCCTTAATGACAGTGGAAAGAAAGGTTTGAGGGTGGGGTGTTTCCCCCCCTTCAAAAAATAGTGATTGTTGGAAGCTTAGAATCAATATGGCGGGTTCTCAGCCATAGGGAGCCCAGAACCTTCTGTATTTATTTTGAATCTCCTTTAGCCTGTTGGGGTAATATTGTCAATTCCATGGTATTTAGAATCACTATGGAAACAAACCTCTGGGGTGGGGGGGGATGAGGAAGTTTCTCAACTAGGTCGACTGAGGCAGAAAGACCCATCTTAAGTGTGGGTAACAACATCCCTTTGGCTGGGATCCCAGGCTGAACAAAAGAGAGAAATTGAGTTGAGTACCGGCATACATTGCTCTCTGTTTCCTGACTGTGGCTACAGTATGACCAGCTGCATCAAACTCTACCCTATTACAACTCACCTTGAAAGACTTGCACCCTCAAACTGTGAGTCAAAATGCACCCTTCCTCCCTTGTTTCCCAGCAACAAGAAAAGTAGCCATTATACAGCTTTCAACCTCAAAGCTGCCTCAAGATCCAAGATAGTAGCTGGGAATGGTGGTGCATGCCTTTAATCCCAGCACTCAGGGAGGCAGAGGGAGGGGGATCTCTGTGAGCTCCAGACCACAGCCTGGTTTACGGAAGGAGTTTCAGGACAGCCAACGATACACAGAGAAAGCCTGTCTGGGGGCGTTGGGGCAAACAAGATCCAAGAACGTGGTTAGAACTGCAGCTAACATATTTGTGTTCTAGGAAAGACGAAGCATGGGAGAGGGAGAGCCTCTGCTGGCTCAGTTGACACCTTAAAAAGACTTTAAAATCTCACCGAAAAACCGGTGGCTTGAAGCTAGGTGTGGTGGCACACGCCTTTAATTCCAGCACCTGGGAGGCAGAGGTAGGCAGATCTCTGTTGAGTTTGAGGCCAGCCTGGTCTACAGAGTGAATCCAAAAAGCAGGGCTCTGTTACACAGAGAAACCTTGTCTCAAATAAACAAACAAAACCAGTGGCTTGACTTTCACTGGCTGCCTCAGCCACACCAAAGGCCAGGGAAATGCAGAGTTTTCGCTGAGCATGCTGTCACTTTAAGTAAATCAAAGTCACTGTTCAATAAGGAGATAAAAAGATATCGGGCAGGCAGCCAGCAATATCTACCACAGCCTGTATAAGATGAGGCTCTATACCCAGAACCCCGAGGACAGCAGGATGCAAAACTGTCTCCCCATACCCCACGTCACACAGAGAACCCAAAGAGTTCCTACTGGCTGCTTTGACCTGTAGTGACCAAGAGAACCTCAGAGATCTTAATGACAGCTGGTCGTGCTGGTTCCCTGGGCCTTTTCACTAGGAACATGCGTGAGAGGGAACTTTATTCTCAGGCCTTGCTGTTTGCTTTTTGTTGAGCTTATGATTCCTACAGGACAAAACTCGCCCTTCTAAAGCACTCTTCTGTCACACTTAAAAGAAACTCAGTGTCCATCAGTGGTCAGGGCAGGTACTTCCATCAGCCCTTCTCTGCCCAGTCCCCAGGGCACCAAGAGCTAGACTTGCCACCTGAACGGGTACTTGGATGAGAAAAGCCTTGCATTCTGAAATGTTTGAGGTCTTAGGAAGAAGAACAGGGTCCTGGGGTAAGAAAAGAGATCCACAAGGATGTGGTAGACCCTGGAGCTCCACCCCCACCCCTGATGCCTGTGAGCCACCTCTCTGCAGGCCACTCCCTGCCTGAGCTAAGAAGAAAATTTGGGTTCTGCAACAAGGCCTAGGGTGTCTTCTGCAGCCTGCAATGCCCTAAGGTGCAGTAGCAGCTTGGAAACTGCCTGGATGCATTTGGGAGACTTCAGGTAGCACCACCGAGAGCGAAGGGACAGTGACATGGGAGAGAACACAGTGTTCTAGTGTTTAATAAAGGCCCCCATGTCCCAGATACACACAGAACCTCACCACTCCACTCCCATCTTTGGGAGCTGCTGCACCCATTCTACAGAAGAGAACCTAAGGCCCACAGGAAATGCACCTGCTCCAAGGGAGAAAGCTGAGATCTCAGAGTCCCTGCTGGGCTTTATGCTCTGTGATGTGTGCTGTGCTGAGCTTGTGGGCACCTGTGGAGAATGCCTCCAGAACCATCCTGGTGTGGCCTGCTACCCCAGTGAGGCCAGGACATCAGGAGGGGGCTCGGCTGAGCCAGTGGGAGCTGGGCATGAGCTCCCCCTCCCTCCTGCATGCTGCCTGATCCTCACTCCTCAGGCAGAGAGGTTACTGAAGAAGACTCCAGGTTTTGGGGTCTGCCTTATCCCTTGTCACCAGGAGCCTGTCTTTCTGAGTGACTTGCCAGCTCTCCCCCTGGCTGGTCATCCTCACAGTGGCTCTGAAAACAACCGGGGAGAGGCAGCTGAGGGATCCTGGCTGATCCAGAGTCCAGGTGAAGCAGGCTAGAGGCTGCGATGATGGGGAGGTTGGCATGTCACAAGTCTGAACGCAGAGCAGGGGAGGGGGCCAGGCAGGCAGGATTGTAGTTGGGCTGTTTGGCTGATGAAGGGGGTCAGCGTAGGCATGTGTCATCGTCGAGGTAGGCTGGGAAGGGGAGGGCTGTGCGTGGAGGGGGAGGATATATATGCTGGCGTGGCTGACACAGAGGAACAAGCCTCACAGCTGAGAGAACCCGGTGACGGACAGCGCCAGGTAGGCAATGCATGGGACCCCAGCACCGGGCGGCTGGCACTATCTGCCCGGAGCCCTCTCGGGAGAGCAGGACAGCCTGACCGGCTCCTCCACCTCTGTCTTTTGTCCACTGTGGCTGCTGGCTGGCCTCTTGTGAGATTATGGCTCCATTCATCTTATTCTCAGTGTTCCGAGGGTAGAGAAGGGGGAGGGCTGAGGGCTAGCTAATGCGAACGAAAGCCGAACTTGGAAATGAGGAAAAGTTTTGCTTTCCCAGTTGTGGCCCTGGCTAGATGGTGGATAAGCAGGGAAGAGGTGGCTGAAGGAGAGGGGACAGACCCAGGGAAGGGGCTGGCCATTCAGAGTAGCCCTGGGAAGCCCCTGGCACACCTCGTGGAGGGTTTTCATTCTGTGGCTCCCTGCCCTTTGTGCGAGCTGCTTTCTGCTGCCACTGGCTCTGATGTCACTCTGGTTTGAGTTCTCTTACACCTTAATGGAAACTGTTAATAATGTGGGGGAGAGGCAGACCCGAGGACTGAGCTTCACCTGTGTGCATGGCCGAACGAAGCCACTCGCTGGCCGAGTGAATCTCATGGGCGTTTCTGAAGCCATGACCTTGGTCCTCCAGATCCTGGGCTGCTCCGAGGTATCCTTTCTTTCTCGACATCTCTCTCCCCATTTCCCACCTGTCCCACCTCAAAAGATCTCTGCCCAGGTCTCATGGAACTCTCTCACACGTCAGAGCATCTGAACGTTCCCTGCCCTATCTCAGCCTTCTCTTTCTCCTCCTCCTCTCTTTGTGCGTCTCTTCCCCCCTCCTCTCTCTACCCATCCTCTCCTCTCCCCCATCTCCCTTTGAACACGGGCAAGTTGGGGGTGGGGGAATTTCATGTAAGGCAGGATGATTCGGAGAGGGGGGCTATTTAAAGCATGCTGCACTGGACTTGAATACCCCAAGCCTGGGCTTAAACATCTGTGTTTAGCTTCCTCCAGCAGCTCATAATTGCCCCAATTATAACCAATAACATTGTTCAGCAGACTGACAAAAGCTGAGCTCCACACGGCATTTGCCAGCAAGCCCAAACGAGAGTTTTCATCAGAGAGGGAGAAAAGTAACTGCCCGGCTTTCGGCTTTCGTATCAAAACCTCCCAAAGAGAATGCTGTGATCTCCCGGTGCCTGTGGGTCCTACACACCCTCCTTCCTCTCATCTAGGAAGCCTGGCAGAAAGATATTCTACACGCTTCCATCAGGGCCATGACACCTTAACAGAGAGGATTCCTGTCCCCTGGGTTTGCTGAGTCTCCTGCATGGGGTGGGGGGGTGGGGAGGCAGCTGCCCCAGACATCACCTGAGGAAAAGGAACAGCCGCACTTTTCCAGGTAGCCCCCCCCCTCCCCCGTGCTGTCTGTCTGTGGAAGGTGCTCCGGTGCGGCTGATGGTTTTCTTCATGTGCAGCAGCTGCTGCCTTATCAGCCGAAGTCCGAGGGCACTTAGGGCTGCAGAGAACTCAGCAGGTTTTACATTGCCGGTGAAGGGAGTAATTGCAGGATTAGACGTTAGTGGAGCCCGAGACCGGAGCCGTCACCAAGCAATTCCATCTTCAATCAATCAGGTATTTATCAGCTACACCCCACCAGGCAAGGGAGGCAGCACGGGGCTCTATAGATTCAGCGGAGGCGCTAAGAGCACTTTGTGTGTGCAGTGACTTACACACTTTCCGCCCATTATCTCCAGCAACAACGCTAGAAGGCAAAAAAAATCGTTATCTCAGAGTTGCAGGAACAGGACCCAGGGCAGCCGTCCCAGGGCGGGTGCTCGCTTCCCTTAAGGTCTGCGGTGCTTGCGAACTAGTAGCGGGCACACAGCACAGACAGACAGGAAGCAACTCGAGATAATGGGATAATGTGGGACTGGGTGTGATCTGCCCTACACTTGTGGTCCAGAGAGTCAATGCTGGAGGAATTTGGGGAAGGGCGCTTCCTCCAGGGACTGAGGCCAGTGGGGAGAGGGGCAGGATTCTCATGCATCCGGGGTCTGAAGGCAGCCAGAACAAAAGCACAAAAGAAAGGCAAAGGAATTTAGTATTTCTTGAAACCATGAATGGCAGGCAGTAGGCTAAATTTGGCTATATAGTTCTTTCATAAACACACACACACACACACACGGTGATAACGAGAGGTTCGGTCCCGCACTGCACACTTACAATGATATGGTTCAAAGACCCTTCCTCTTCCCAACTCCTCCACTCACACAGACTGTAAGGAAACTGTTAAGTTTCCTCTGCTCTGGATCATCAGATATTTTAGGAAAGAACGAACACATCTCAGAAAATGAGAGTCAACTTAACATTGGCTTTTAGGGGCTTGGGTTCCTGGGAACTTATTTATTAGACGAATGGGATCTTGGAAACACTTCGTTTCAAAGCCGACAGCTGCTCCTTGCATTCCAACCACAAACTCTGGCTGTGGGATTTGGAGCACACCAGTTTGAAGGGGGAAGGGAACACAGGTTGGTTTTCCGAGCATTCTAACCCTCAATAGGTTACAAGCACTTTAACCCTCCACTTCCCATGGTCCTGGGTCTGGCAAAATCCTGGCAGCTGCTTGGGCATTACAGCAGCATAGACTAGCCAGGTGGGAAAGGCTTGGGCTGGGCTGGCCTCCCGGCCAACCAGACAAAACTCTGCAGCCTGCAGTGACACAGCCAGCCTTCCTCCTCCTCACGCTGGCCCCGTGATCTTCCCCCATCCTGTCACCCCATTCATCCTTTCATTCAGCCAACTGAGTACGTGCGTTGTGTTCCTGATAGGAGCCGAATAACGTATGTGCTGGTAGTGCAGAGCCGTCAGCCATCAACTTTTTCCCAGCTCACCATCAAAGTCACAAAATGTGAATGAGTCCCAACCAGTGGTCTCCAAAGGGGCTTACCTACCCAGATCCCTACTAGGTTATTAGAAATTGAGATGTTAAATTATTTCTTTTATTTTAGAGTGTGTGTGTGTGTGTGCGCGCGCGCGCACCAGCCTGAGCACTGGGCTTACAGGCACACAATACCACTCCTGGCTCTTTATGTGCATTCTTGGGAGCCAAGCTCAGGTCTTCAAGTTGTGCAACAAGCATTTTACATACTGAGCCATCTCCCCATCACCTGAATTAAGTCTTTTTCAATTTATACATTAGTGGATTTTATAACATATGTCACATGAATAAAGAGGTTGGGAACGTATATTCAAAACTAATTGCTAGAGTAACTGTGGTTAATGACAACTAATTCTTTATTTCAAAATAGCTAGTGTACAGGACCTAGTACATTCACTCCACAAGAGAATGATAAATTTCCAAGGCAATGATGTGCCAACCACCTCAATCTTCCACACATTGCACACGTGTGGAAATAATGCATTATATCTCCAAAAATATGTATAATCCTATCAATTAAAACATTCTTTAAAACTGGTTGCTAGAGATACAAAATTAAAGACGTTGGAAGGTTATATGAATCTAGATTCGTCATTCTCTTCCTTTGTGGGTTTTATGATCATTTTGAAAAGAACATAGAGTGGTTTCATGAATGTAAATAAAAGCTTTTAAAAGTCCATTTAAACTAGCTTGACGTATGTGGCAGCATTTACCAGAATCAGGGAGGTGAACATTAAGAGCATTCCCTTCCTACGTGTGACAGCTAAAAGGACATGTGTGTGTTCCCTCCTGGCCCTCTGTGAAGCCCAGTGCATCTTCATGACCTTCATCTGGGGCTGTCTGAAGCCACTACTCTGTTGGCTCATCTCCTCCTTCTTTCTTGCTTCTCTTACTGGCCATTCATAAAATCAAAGGATATTAACCATCTCATGCAACTGTCTGTTTTTATAGGAAGAGAAATCCAGGCCCAGAAAATGAAAGTGCCATTCCTAAGATCCCACAAGTAACAACAGTACCAGCTCTGGAACCCAGGACCTTGCACAGGGCTATTTCTCATGCACAGCTCTACCTGGACACCCTTGGTCCACATAGGGTAGACAGGTACTTTATGCCCTCAACCCCCAAGCCCTTTCCCTTCTCTCTGGGTAGAAAATTGAGAGCAAGAGAGAAAACTACTAAGAGTAAATGTGTCAGCTGGGCAGTGGTGGTACACACCTTTAATCCCAGCACTCTGGATGCAGAGGCAGGTGGATCTCTGAATTTGAGGGCAGCCTGGTCTACAAAGTGAATTCCAGGACAGCCAGAGATAAACAGAGGAAAAGAGAGAGAGAGAGAGAGAGAGAGCAATTGTATCCATCAAAGGAAAGAAAGACAGCAGTCTGCCAAGGTAGGAGCAAGCCATACTCTATGTGGACATTTTAGCTGCTGCTGCCCAAGAGTTTTGTTCCCTGGGCTACGAGAAAACCTGTGATGCTTTGGCACTTCTCTTAGAGAATGAGCGTGGAGCTCCTTCCTCCTAGAAGCATCTGTGGCTACTTCCTTTCCATCAATGAGCTGTATAGATACTGTTCTTTGCAGGTTATAGATGACCTCTGTGTTCATCTACAACCCTGCAGTCTGGAGGCAATTTTATCTACCTTTGTGGGATAAATACAAGCTCACAGGAGCTAATCAGCTTGCTCAATTAATAAATAGCAGAATCCTGCTGTGATCCAGGACCAGGCCATGACAAAGACCCTGTATCTTCCTGATGCATAGCTGGTAGACGGTGAGGTCTCTCGGTGAGTCGGGGAGAAGGACTAAGCCAGTCCCCCAGATGAATTCACATGAAGACAGATCATCGGAGGTACCCTCAAAACATAAAAGCGGGGCTCCCATCCCAGCTCTGTCACTTCAGAGTGTGTTTCTCCCACCCTCTGTCTTCTCAACCGTAGAGTGGAGCTGGCAGCACTTAGCCCGTAGGATGGAATCTTATAAAGCCATTGGCTCTCAAAAGCTTTCAGTCACGGGGAGTCCTTCCCAACAAAGCAGCACAGTTTACTACCCTTTCCAAAGGGTAAAACCTTGTGCAAGTTTTATGGGAAGTCAGAACACAGGTTGA